TCCAAAGGCAGGGACCCCGATACGTCAGGGGTTCCTTTTTCTCTCTGTCCTGACTACTTCAAAGGACAGGGACCCCGATACGTCAGGGGTTCCTTTTTCTCTCTGTCCTGACTACTTCAAAGGACAGGGACCCCGATACGTCAGGGGTTCCTTTTTCTCTCTGTCCTGACTACTTCAAAGGACAGGGACCCCGATACGTCAGGGGTTCCTTTCTCTCTCTGTCCTGACTACTTCAAAGGACAGGGACCCCGATACGTCAGGGGTTCCTTTTTCCTATAGGGACTGGTTACCCACACAGCTAACCTGTTTTCTACAACATAAGACATGACAAAGACGTGACAAAGACACAACAAAGAAAATTTGATTTAGAGAGATTTGGACAGACCTCCGGGACAGCTCAAAATTTAGCTAGTATCCAATTATGCAGACTTTACATATTAAAAAAGGTCTCTGCTTACCTTATTTCTTTGTCCGGACTGTTCGAGAGGTCGACCAACATCTTTTCCGCGTCGAAAAATTCAATTTAAAAAACAAAAGTGACAGAAGCGACAAGAAGCATCCAGGAACAGCTCTTCCAGCCTGCTGGAATCTCCGCTCCCAGACACAGCATGCCGATCTCTCACGCAGAGGAAAAGAAACAGAGCAAACTCCTCCAAAACAATCCAGAGAATGGCACACACTGAGCCGCGCATTCTCCACCAAATCTGTTAGGATTTAAGCAGACAGAGACGGATCGTGGTGTGCCAAACTCTGGAAGTTTATTTAAGTTTCTCTCAAGTTCCACTGGTTTACTCTGTTTCTTTCCCTCAGACAGAATAAAGGCAGTACACAGTTTATATAGTCATTGTCACGTCACACATCGAAAGACATACGTGTCACAAAGAGACAGTCAAATCATAGTCATAACATGGAGTCCTTGTAGAGTCCTTGTACAGTCCTGCACGTAGGCCATATTGCTATCTAATACTAATAAACTAGTTAAGGATAAAGTTTATAGTAATATAATATGACTAATAATAATAATAATAAACTAATGCTAATATATGCTTATACTTCATATAGAATATAAACTCAAATGAATCTCTCCAAACATCCCCTCTTCTGGACTTGCCATGGTTCAGGCCTTAGGGTGGAGCCTGGAGGTAACACCCTCAGCTGGAGTGGGTGTGGGTGAAGTCAGCTTACAGGAGTGTGAGCTCTGTCACTCCCGTATTCGTCCCGGAAACCGGATTTGTCCGGAAGTTCAGTTTGATCCAATGAGCATACGCAGCAGTAGATTACGTCACGGAATCTGGACGGAAGCGGAAGTAAATAAAACAAACTACCTATTCATGCCTAAACTTAACCAGCCATTCCCATAAAATAACACCAACCCAGCCTTAACCCTAAGCTTAACCATCTTAATCAGACGCCTAAACTTAACCAGTCTCCACTTAAGGACATATTAAACTTTTTGACATGCGCAAACTGAAGCTCCAATTGTGAGGGAGGAGTCAGCCCTCACACCATCCATTTTCTTCCCCTTTATCCATTTCTGGGTCGGGGGTGGCCGTCAGAGCTGCACTCAGTACACAGAGCACCAGCCCCTCACTGATCCTCCTGCAGGTGGTGAGTCCACAGGAGCTGAGATCTTTCAGTGGGGGCTTCAGGCAAAGTGGGGTTAAGTGTCTTTCCCAAGGACAGCAGTCATCAGGGGAGTCCTGAAGTGGGTCTTGGTGGGCTCGAACCCACAACCTTCAGGCTCAAAGGCCAATGCTCTACCAACTGAGTCGCTGTCGCCCATTATCTTACTAATGAACTAATGAATTAGACTGCTGCCCAGCGACCCGGCAACGGATAAAGCGGAAGAAAATGGATGGATGGAAAATAAAACCCTGTTAATCAGTTGGGAACTTCTAAATAAGTGGATTACAAATAATAACAGCAGAGGGCGCTAAATGAACACATTTTATCTTGGTTTTTCAAACTTCTTCAGCTGTGAATCAAGATTTTAATGAATATTTATGTTTCAATTATCCTTCAATTCCCCCAAGGTGACAATCATAGTCCAGCAGAGAATTATTCAAAATAAATACAAATCTCAAGACTCCAGGCTCATTTTGGAGCTGATGGGTGAAATAATTTTGGTATGGTAATTACTTGATGTACTCTTTGTTTACAAAAAATATATTTAATTTCAACACAAATTTTACATTTTCTGTTTTACCATGCAATACTGTAGGGATTTCACAAAGTTTTGTTTGTTAATTTTACAGTGTATGTTTGCAAATGGAACGTATAGACCCTGGATAATGGAGAGGAGGTGAGCAGGCTGTTGTCTCTATTGTTTAAGAAGGTTCTTGGTGGATTTGGCAGTATTATTATTATTAGTCTTATTCTATACCAGACAGTTGTAAGATAGTGATGTTATTCCCTAGACATGTTTCATAGTATCTCTGCTGCGTTTCCTGATCTCTGTTGCTTCTTTGAACCAGTGCTTGTCCAGTATTTATTGATTCTTGTACATGAGATGTTTTTTTTGCATTTGCACTGATCTGATATCGCCTGTTCAAAATCATCTTGTTCTCTCTCTCTCTCTTGGTTTTGTTTTTGACTTGTCCCATAGTGTGTGAGAAGGTGCCTGGGCCCGTCCTCTGTTGTCAAATCAAACATCTCCACATGTAAACACAGGCAGACACTCTAAGGGGCAGGGACAGTCTGCATCCTCTGTGGTCATCATCGCACATAGTCCATGGGCTGCAGCTCTGGTTTTGGACGATGAATCGCTCTCGTGCAAACTGTCTCAAGTCCTTCATCCTCTTCCTCCACTTCTTGTGCTGGGTGAGTGCACACGCCTCTCTGCTCCATCAGTGAAATGTATTTGTTTAGTTTGTTAAAGAAGTGGCATCGTTAACAATAGAACTCCCACAGCAGTCAATAAGACCGCTTTTAGATTTAGATTTGCTCTTGTACCTTTTCTGCCTTTCTAACTTTGTGACTTTGTAGTTTAATTCTATGTCATCACTTTAATGAAATTATCTTTTATTTTTTAAATGTGGTTAGCTCTGGTTTTAACTTTTAGAGCAGTCAGTTTGACTGCAGCATTTAAATGTAGCCATTTTTGGCGGGGTTAGGGGCTAACAACATTCTATGACAGTTAAAGTCCCTTTTTAAAGTGCTGGACTGGTCCTGGACTGGTCCTGGACTGGTCTTGGGTTGGTCATGGACTGTTCATGGTTCTGGTTCTGTTTTCCCACCAGAGAAGAGCAGTTGATAATTACCATAACAACAGTCTGTTTACTGTCAGCAGTTAGCATTTAGCCTATCAACCAGTTTTAGCACTTATTAAAGGTTCAAACTGTGTCTATTACTTACTTGTAATAAAACTAGTGAAAAACTAGTCAAACTGACTGTTCTACCTTTTACTCTCAGCAGTTATTTTGTCATTTTCAATGTATATAATTCACATGTTATGACAGTTAGAGCTCCTTTTCAAAGTGCTGGTATCCACCAGAAAAGAGCAATTACCATAGCCCCATAAATACCACAACAACGCATTGTTTACTATCAGCATTTAGTGATTTAATGTTTGTTTTCTGTTTCAAATCATATAATAAACTTTTAGCATAAAATATACCTAATTTGTCTTAAAAAGTAACAGAAACCAGACAGACATACATTTTTACTTTGTCCCATACCTCATGATGCTAACAAGTACAGACACACACAACTTTACATTTATGCACTAGAATATATAGTATTCTAAACGTGATACTTATTAGGCCGAAGGTAGAAATCCATCCATCCATCCATCCATCCATTTTCTACCCTTTAATCCATTTCTGGGTCAGGGGGGTGGCAGTCAGAGATGCCACCCAAGTCTCATAGCACCAGCCCCTCACTGACCCTCTGCAGGTGGTGAGTCCACAGGAGGACAGCTGCTCTCTGAGTGTGAGCATAGCCTTGATCTTTCAGTGGGAGCTTTTTGGGTAGAAATCTTATACTTTAATTATTATGCTAAAATCAGATATGTTGTACTTAATTCTTAATTCTTTATCATGCTAAAGTTAGAGATTTTGGATTGCTTCCTTTTTGTACTAAAGCTAGAGATTTGATTTGTTATTATTCTATTTAGTATGAAGTTATTATTCATGTATCTTGTGCTGTTTGCTCCTCATTCCTACTGTGGACGGGGAGTGGACCAACCATCCAGGCGCTGAGGAACTAGCTAACTTTTCAATGTCAATGTCAATGTCAGATTTATTTGTGTAGCACATTTACAACAACACCAACTGCCCAAAGTGCTTCTGAGGCAGGAAAGATTAAAAAAGAAATAAAACAGCAAAACATACATAAACATGCATGTAAAAAGGTAAAACCCTTAACAGAAACTTCTGAAAACCTCTGTGCACGTGTATTAAGAATGTGAATGTATAATGTATTCTCCGATTAGCATTTAAATGTGTTGATTGATTGGTATTTGCGTTTATTGAGCGTGGCTGGCGGCGAAGTGGCCGGAACTTCTTGCGGAGTAATCTACACATCTGAATTACAAGCAGAGGGTGCGTTGCCAAAGGGCAGCGGTCATTATTGTTTTGAGAGGTCGGTTATCAAGAAATAATGACAGTAGAACGTTTTGAAATTACTTTCAAGTCAATGCAGCATTCTACTGCTGCTGTGAGGAGCCGTGTAATAAATGAACAATAACTTCATACTATATAAAATCAAATCAAATCTCTAACTTTAGCATCCAAAAAAGCAAGTATCAAATCTCTAGCTTTAGTACAATAAGGAAGCAATCTGAAATCTCATACTTTAGCATAACGAAGGATAATGAATTAAGTACAACACTTCTGTATAATAAAACAGAGTAAAATCTCTACCTTTGGCCCAATAAGAATCAAGTTTAAATGACTGTATATTCTAGTGCATAAATGTATAGTTGTGTGTATACATCTGTACATGTTAGCAGCATGAGGTCTGGGACAAAGTGAGTGTGTCAACTTATTTCACACAAATGTATGTCTGTATGGTTTCTGTCACTCTCATCGTCCACTCACGGTCCACTCCCCGTCCACCGACCGTCCACTCCTCGTCCACCGACCGTCCACTCCCCGTCCACCGACCGTCCACTACCCGTCCACTCCTCGTCCACTCCTCGTCCACTCCTCGTCCACTCACCGTCCACTCCCCGTCCACTCACCGTCCACTCCTCGTCCACTCCCCGTCCACTCCCCGTCCACTCTCCGTCCACTCCTCGTCCACTCACCGTCCACCCACCGTCCACTCCTCGTCCACCCACCGTCCACTCCCCACTCCCTGTCCACTCCCCGTCCACTCTCCGTCCACCCACCGTCCACTCACCGTCCACTCCCCGTCCACTCCCCGTCCACTCCCCGTCCACCCACCGTCCACTACCCGTCCACTCCTCGTCCACTCCTCGTCCACTCCCCGTCCACTCACCCTCCACTCCCCGTCCACTCCCCGTCCACCCACCGTCCACTCACCGTCCACTCCCCGTCCACTCCCCGTCCACCCCCCGTCCACTCCCCTCCACCCACCGTCCACTCCCCGTCCACCCACCGTCCACTCCCCACTCCCCGTCCACTCACCGTCCACTCCCTGTCCACTCCCCGTCCACCCACCGTCCACTCACCGTCCACTCCCCGTCCACTCCCCGTCCACCCACCGTCCACTCACCGTCCACTCCCCGTCCACTCCCCGTCCACCGACCGTCCACTACCCGTCCACTCCTCGTCCACTCCTCGTCCACTCCTCGTCCACTCACCGTCCACTCCCCTTCCACTCCTCGTCCACTCCTCGTCCACTCCCCGTCCACTCTCCGTCCACTCCTCGTCCACTCCCCGTCCACTCACCGTCCACCCACCGTCCACTCCCGTCCACTCCCCACTCCTCGTCCACCCACCGTCCACTCCCCACTCCCCGTCCACTCCCCGTCCACTCCCCGTCCACTCTCCGTCCACCCACCGTCCACTCACCGTCCACTCCCCGTCCACTCCCCGTCCACTCCCCGTCCACTCCCCGTCCACTCCCCGTCCACCCACCGTCCACTACCCGTCCACTCCTCGTCCACTCCTCGTCCACTCCCCGTCCACTCCTCGTCCACTCACCGTCCACTCACCGTCCACTCCTCGTCCACTCCCCGTCCACTCACCCTCCACTCCCCTCCACTCCTCGTCCACTCCCGTCCACTCCCCGTCCACCCACCGTCCACTCACCGTCCACCCCCCGTCCACTCCCCGTCCACTCCCCGTCCACTCCCCGTCCACTCCCGTCCACTCCCGTCCACTCCCCGTCCACTCCCCGTCCACCCCCGTCCACTCCACCGTCCACTCCCCGTCCACTCCCGTCCACTCCCCGTCCACCCCCCGTCCACTCCCCGTCCACCCACCGTCCACTCCCCGTCCACCCACCGTCCACTCCCCGTCCACTCCCCGTCCACTCCCCTCCACCCCGTCCACTCCCCGTCCACTCCCCGTCCACTCACCGTCCACTCCCCGTCCACCCCCGTCCACTCCCCGTCCACCCACCGTCCACTCACGTCCACTCCCCGTCCACTCCCCGTCCACTCACCGTCCACTCCCGTCCACTCCCCGTCCACTCCCCGTCCACCCCCGTCCACTCACCGTCCACTCCCCGTCCACTCCCCGTCCATCCCCGTCCACTCCCCGTCCACTCCCCGTCCACTCCCCGTCCACTCCCCGTCCACTCCCCGTCCACTCCCCGTCCACTCCCCGTCCACTCCCGTCCACCCCCGTCCACTCCACCGTCCACTCCCACCCGTCCACTCCCCCCCGTCCACTCACCGTCCACTCCCCGTCCACTCCCCGTCCACTCCCCGTCCACTCGTCCACTCCCCGTCCACTCCCCGTCCACTCCCGTCCACTCCCCGTCCACTCCCCGTCCACTCACCGTCCACTCCCCGTCCACTCCCGTCCACTCCCCGTCCACTCCCGTCCACTCACCGTCCACTCCCGTCCACTCCCGTCCACTCCCCGTCCACTCCCGTCCACCCACCGTCCACTCCCTCCACTCCCGTCCACTCCCCGTCCACTCCCGTCCACTCCCCGTCCACTCCCCGTCCACTCCCCGTCCACCCCCGTCCACTCCCCCACTCCCCGTCCACTCCCCGTCCACTCCCGTCCACCCACCGTCCACTCACCGTCCACTCCCCGTCCACTCCCGTCCACTCCCCGTCCACCCCCGCCACCCACCGTCCACTCACCGTCCACTCCCCGTCCACTCCCGTCCACCCCCGTCCACTCCCCGTCCACTCCCCGTCCACTCCCGTCCACTCCCCGTCCACTCCCCGTCCACTCCCGTCCACTCCCGTCCACTCCCGTCCACTCCCCGTCCACTCCCCGTCCACTCCCCGTCCACTCCCCGTCCACTCCCCGTCCACCCACCGTCCACTCACCGTCCACTCCCCGTCCACTCCCCGTCCACCCCCGTCCACTCCCGTCCACTCCCCGTCCACTCCCCGTCACTCCCGTCCACTCCCCGTCCACTCCCCGTCCACTCACCGTCCACTCCCCGTCCACTCCCCGTCCACTCCCCGTCCACTCACCGTCCACTCCCCGTCCACCACCGTCCACTCCCCGTCCACTCACCGTCCACTCCCCGTCCACTCCCGTCCACCCACCGTCCACTCCCCGTCCACTCCCCGTCCACTCCCGTCCACTCACCGTCCACTCCCCCTGTCCACTCCCCGTCCACCCACCGTCCACTCACCGTCCACTCCCGTCCACCCCCGTCCACTCACCGTCCACTCCCCGTCCACTCCCCGTCCACTCACCGTCCACTCCCCGTCCACTCCCCGTCCACTCCCCGTCCACCACCGTCCACTCCCCGTCCACTCCCGTCCACTCCCGTCCACTCACCGTCCACTCCCGTCCACTCCCGTCCACCCCCGTCCACTCACCGTCCACTCCCCGTCCACTCCCCGTCCACTCCCCGTCCACTCACCGTCCACTCCCCGTCCACTCACCGTCCACTCCCCGTCCACTCCACCGTCCACTCCCCGTCCACTCACCGTCCACTCCCCGTCCACTCCCCGTCCACTCACCGTCCACTCACCGTCCACTCACCGTCCACTCCCCGTCCACTCCCCGTCCACTCCCCGTCCACTCCCCGTCCACTCCCCGTCCACTCCCGTCCACTCACCGTCCACTCCCCGTCCACTCCCCCGTCCACTCACCGTCCACCCACCGTCCACTCCCGTCCACTCCACTCCTCGTCCACCCACCGTCCACTCCCCACTCCCCGTCCACTCCCCGTCCACTCTCCGTCCACCCACCGTCCACTCACCGTCCACTCCCCGTCCACTCCCCGTCCACCCCCCGTCCACTCCCCGTCCACTCCCCGTCCACCCACCGTCCACTACCCGTCCACTCCTCGTCCACTCCTCGTCCACTCCCGTCCACTCACCGTCCACTCACCGTCCACTCACCGTCCACTCCTCGTCCACTCCCCGTCCACTCACCGTCCACTCCCCTTCCACTCCTCGTCCACTCCTCGTCCACTCCCCGTCCACCCACCGTCCACTCCCGTCCACCCCCGTCCACTCCCCGTCCACTCCCCTCCACTCCACCGTCCACTCACCGTCCACTCCCTGTCCACTCCCCGTCCACTCCCCGTCCACCCACCGTCCACTCACCGTCCACTCCCCGTCCACTCCCCGCCACCCCCGTCCACTCCCCGTCCACCCACCGTCCACTCCCGTCCACCCCCGTCCACTCCCCGTCCACCCCCGTCCACTCCCCGTCCACTCCCCGTCCACTCCACCGTCCACCACCGTCCACTCCCGTCCACTCCCCGTCCACTCACCGTCCACTCCCCGTCCACTCCCCGTCCACTCCCCGTCCACTCCCCGTCCACTCACCGTCCACTCCATCCCCACTCCCCGTCCACTCCCCGTCCACCCCCGTCCACTCCCCGTCCACTCACCGTCCACTCCCCGTCCACCCCCCGTCCACTCCACCCGTCCACTCACCGTCCACCCACCGTCCACTCCTCGTCCACTCCCCACTCCTCGTCCACCCACCGTCCACTCCCCCTCCCTCCCCCGTCCACTCCCCGTCCACCCACCGTCCACCCACCGTCCACCACCGTCCACTCCCCGTCCACTCCCCGTCCACTCCCCGTCCACCCACCGTCCACTACCCGTCCACTCCTCGTCCACTCCCTCCGTCCACTCACCGTCCACTCCCGTCCACTCCCCGTCCACTCCCCTTCCACTCCTCGTCCACTCCTCGTCCACTCCCCGTCCACCCACCGTCCACTCACCGTCCACTCCCTGTCCACTCCCCGTCCACTCCCCGTCCACCCACCGTCCACTCACCGTCCACTCCCCGTCCACTCCCCGTCCACCCCCCGTCCACTCCCCGTCCACCCACCGTCCACTCCCGTCCACCCACCGTCCACTCCCCACTCCCCGTCCACTCCCCGTCCACTCTCCGTCCACCCACCGTCCACTCACCGTCCACTCCCCGTCCACTCCCCGTCCACCCCCGTCCACTCCCCGTCCACCCACCGTCCACTCACCGTCCACTCCCTGTCCACTCCCCGTCCACCCACCGTCCACTCACCGTCCACTCCCCGTCCACTCCTCGTCCACTCCCCGTCCACCCACCGTCCACTCACCGTCCACTCCCCGTCCACTCACCGTCCACTCCCCGTCCACCTCTCCGTCCACTCACCGTCCATTCCCCGTCCACCCACCGTCCACTCACCGTCCACTCACCGTCCACTCCCCGTCCACTCCCCACTCCCCGTCCACTCCCCGTCCACCCACCGTCCACTCACCGTCCACTCCCCGTCCACTCACCGTCCACTCCCCGTCCACCCACCGTCCACTCCCCGTCCACCCACCGTCCACTCCCCGTCCACTCCCCGTCCACCCACCGTCCACCCCCCGTCCACTCCCCGTCCACTCCCTGTCCACTCACCGTCCACTCCCTGTCCACTCCCCGTCCACCCACCGTCCACTCACCGTCCACTCCTCGTCCACTCCCCGTCCACTCCCCGTCCACCCACCGTCCACTCACCGTCCACTCCCCGTCCACTCACCGTCCACTCCCCGTCCACTCACCGTCCACTCCCCGTCCACCCACCGTCCACTCCCCGTCCACTCACCGTTTACTCCCCGTCCACCCACCGTCCACCCACCGTCCACTCCCACTCCCCGTCCACTCCCCACTCCCCGTCCACTCCCCGTCCACCCACCGTCCACTCCCCGTCCACCCACCGTCCACTCCCCGTCCACTCACCGTCCACTCCCCGTCCACCACCGTCCACTCCCCGTCCACTCACCGTCCACTCCCCGTCCACCACCGTCCACTCCCCGTCCACTCACCGTCCACTGTCCGTCCACTCACCGTCCACTCACCGTCCACCCACCGTCCACTCACCGTCCACTCCCCGTCCACCCACCGTCCACTCACCGTCCACTCCCTGTCCACTCCCCGTCCACTCCCCGTCCACCCACCGTCCACTCACCGTCCACTCCCCGTCCACTCCCCGTCCACCCCCCGTCCACTCCCCGTCCACCCACCGTCCACTCCCCGTCCACCCACCGTCCACTCCCCACTCCCCGTCCACTCCCCGTCCACTCTCCGTCCACCCACCGTCCACTCACCGTCCACTCCCCGTCCACTCCCCGTCCACCCCCGTCCACTCCCCGTCCACCCACCGTCCACTCACCGTCCACTCCCTGTCCACTCCCCGTCCACCCACCGTCCACTCACCGTCCACTCCCCGTCCACTCCCCGTCCACTCCGCCACCCCGTCCACTCCCGTCCACTCCCCGTCCACTCCCCGTCCACTCCCCGTCCACTCCCCGTCCACTCCCGTCCACTCCCCGTCCACCCACCGTCCACTCCCGTCCACCCGTCCACTCCCCGTCCACTCACCGTCCACCCACCGTCCACTCCCCGTCCACTCCCCGTCCACTCCCCACTCCCCGTCCACTCCCCGTCCACTCCCCGTCCACTCACCGTCCACTCCCCGTCCACTCCCCGTCCACCCACCGTCCACTCACCGTCCACTCCCCGTCCACCCACCATCCACTCCCCGTCCACTCACCGTCCACTCCCCGTCCACTCCCCGTCCACCCACCGTCCACCCCCCGTCCACTCCCCGTCCACTCCCTGTCCACTCACCGTCCACTCCCCGTCCACTCCCCGTCCACCCACCGTCCACTCACCGTCCACTCCTCGTCCACTCCCCGTCCACCCACCGTCCACTCACCGTCCACTCCCCGTCCACTCCCGTCACTCCCCTCACCGTCCACACTCCACCGTCCACTCCCTCATCCCCGTCCACTCCCCGTCCACCACCGTCCACTCCCCGTCCACTCCCGTCCACTCCCCGTCCACTCCCGTCCACCACCGTCCACCCCCGTCCACTCCCCGTCCACTCCCTGTCCACTCCCCGTCCACTCCCTGTCCACTCCCCGTCCACCCACCGTCCACTCCCGTCCACTCCTCGTCCACTCCCCGTCCACCACCGTCCACTCCCGTCCACTCCCCGTCCACTCCCGTCCACTCCCGTCCACTCACCGTCCACTCCCCGTCCACCGACCGTCCACTCCCGTCCACTCCTCGTCCACTCCTCGTCCACTCCCGTCCACTCACCGTCCACTCCCCTTCCACTCCTCGTCCACTCCCCGTCCACCACCGTCCACTCACCGTCCACTCCCGTCCACTCCCCGTCCACTCCCCGTCCACTCCCCGTCCACTCCCCGTCCACTCTCCGTCCACTCCTCGTCCACTCCCCGTCCACTCACCGTCCACTCCCCGTCCACTCACCGTCCACTCCCCGTCCACCGACCGTCCACTACCCGTCCACTCCTCGTCCACTCCTCGTCCACTCCTCGTCCACTCACCGTCCACTCCCCTTCCACTCCTCGTCCACTCCCCGTCCACTCCCCGTCCACTCCCCGTCCACTCCCCGTCCACTCTCCGTCCACTCCTCGTCCACTCCCCGTCCACTCACCGTCCACCCACCGTCCACTCCTCGTCCACTCCCCACTCCTCGTCCACCCACCGTCCACTCCCCACTCCCCGTCCACTCCCCACTCCCCGTCCACTCCCCGTCCACTCTCCGTCCACCCACCGTCCACTCACCGTCCACTCCCCGTCCACTCCCCGTCCACCCCCCGTCCACTCCCCGTCCACTCCCCGTCCACCCACCGTCCACTCCTCGTCCACTCCTCGTCCACTCCCCGTCCACTCACCCTCCACTCCCCTTCCACTCCTCGTCCACTCCTCGTCCACTCCCCGTCCACCCACCGTCCACTCACCGTCCACCCCCCGTCCACTCCCCGTCCACTCCCCGTCCACCCACCGTCCACTCACCGTCCACTCCCTGTCCACTCCCCGTCCACTCCCCGTCCACCCACCGTCCACTCACCGTCCACTCCCCGTCCACTCCCCGTCCACCCCCCGTCCACCCCCCGTCCACTCCCCGTCCACCCACCGTCCACTCCCCGTCCACCCACCGTCCACTCCCCACTCCCCGTCCACTCCCCGTCCACTCCGTCCGTCCACCCACCGTCCACTCACCGTCCACTCCCGTCCACCCCCCGTCCACTCCCCGTCCACCCACCGTCCACTCACCGTCCACTCCCTGTCCACTCCCCGTCCACCCACCGTCCACTCACCGTCCACTCCCCGTCCACTCCCCGTCCACCCCCCGTCCACTCCCCGTCCACCCACCGTCCACTCACCGTCCACTCCCCGGTCCACTCCCCGTCCACCCACCGTCCACTCACCGTCCACTCACCGTCCACTCCCCGTCCACTCCCCGTCCACTCACCGTCCACTCCCCGTCCACCCACCGTCCACTCACCGTCCACTCCCCGTCCACTCACCGTCCACCCACCGCCCACTCCCCGTCCACTCCCCGTCCACTCCCCACTCCCCGTCCACCCACCGTCCACTCACCGTCCACTCCCCGTCCACTCCCCGTCCACTCCCCGTCCACCCACCGTCCACTCCCCGTCCACTCACCGTCCACTCCCCGTCCACCCACCGTCCACCCCCCGTCCACTCCCCGTCCACTCCCTGTCCACTCCACCGTCCACTCCCTGTCCACTCCCCGTCCACCCACCGTCCACTCACCGTCCACTCACCGTCCACTCCTCGTCCACTCCCCGTCCACTCACCGTCCACTCCCCGTCCACTCACCGTCCACTCCCCGTCCACCCACCGTCCACTCCCCGTCCACTCCCCGTCCACTCACCGTTTACTCCCCGTCCACCCACCGTCCACTCACCGTCCACTCACCGTCCACTCCCCGTCCACCCACCGTCCACTCACCGTCCACTCCCCACTCCCCGTCCACTCCCCGTCCACCCACCGTCCACTCCCCGTCCACTCACCGTCCACCCACCGTCCACTCCTCGTCCACTCCCCACTCCTCGTCCACCCACCGTCCACTCACCGTCCACTCCCCGTCCATCCACCGTCCACTACCCGTCCACTCCTCGTCCACTCCTCGTCCACTCCCCGTCCACTCCTCGTCCACTCCTCGTCCACTCACCGTCCACTCACCGTCCACTCCTCGTCCACTCCCCGTCCACTCACCGTCCACTCCCCTTCCACTCCTCGTCCACTCCTCGTCCACTCACCGTCCACTCCCTGTCCACTCCCCGTCCACTCCCCGTCCACCCACCGTCCACTCACCGTCCACTCCCCGTCCACTCCCCGTCCACCCCCCGTCCACTCCCCGTCCACCCACCGTCCACTCCCCGTCCACCCACCGTCCACTCCCCACTCCCCGTCCACTCCCCGTCCACTCTCCACTCCCGTCCACCCACCGTCCACTCACCGTCCACTCCCCGTCCACTCACCGTTTACTCCCCGTCCACCCACCGTCCACTCACCGTCCACTCCCCGTCCACCCACCGTCCACTCACCGTCCAGTCCCCACTCCCCGTCCACTCCCCGTCCACCCACCGTCCACTCCCCGTCCACTCACCGTCCACTCCCCGTCCACCCACCGTCCACTCCCCGTCCACTCACCGTCCACCCACCGTCCACTCCTCGTCCACTCCCCACTCCTCGTCCACCCACCGTCCACTCCCCACTCCCCGTCCACGTCCACTCCCCGTCCACTCTCCGTCCACCCACCGTCCACTCACCGTCCACTCCCGTCCACTCCCCGTCCACTTCCCGTCCACCCACCGTCCACTACCCGTCCACTCCTCGTCCACTCCTCGTCCACTCACCGTCCACTCACCGTCCACTCACCGTCCACTCCTCGTCCACTCCCCGTCCACTCCCCTTCCACTCCTCGTCCACTCCTCGTCCACTCCCCACTCCCCACTCCCCGTCCACTCCCCGTCCACTCTCCGTCCACCCACCGTCCACTCACCGTCCACTCCCTGTCCACTCCCCGTCCACTCCCCGTCCACCCACCGTCCACTCACCGTCCACTCCCCGTCCACTCCCCGTCCACCCCCGTCCATTCCCCGTCCCCCCCGTCCACCCACCGTCCACTCCCCGTCCACCCACCGTCCACTCCCCACTCCCCGTCCACTCCCCGTCCACTCTCCGTCCACCCACCGTCCACTCACCGTCCACTCCCCGTCCACTCCCCGTCCACCCCCCGTCCACTCCCCGTCCACCCACCGTCCACTCACCGTCCACTCCCTGTCCACTCCCCGTCCACCCACCGTCCACTCACCGTCCACTCCCCGTCCACTCCTCGTCCACTCCCCGTCCACCCACCGTCCACTCACCGTCCACTCCCCGTCCACTCACCGTCCACTCCCCGTCCACTCTCCGTCCACTCACCGTCCACTCCCCGTCCACCCACCGTCCACTCACCGTCCACTCCCCGTCCACTCCCCGTCCACCCCCCGTCCACTCCCCGTCCACCCACCGTCCACTCCCCGTCCACCCACCGTCCACTCCCCACTCCCCGTCCACTCCCCGTCCACTCTCCGTCCACCCACCGTCCACTCACCGTCCACTCCCCGTCCACTCACCGTTTACTCCCCGTCCACCCACCGTCCACTCACCGTCCACTCCCCGTCCACCCACCGTCCACTCACCGTCCACTCCCCTCCACTCCCACTCCACCGTCACCCACCGTCCACTCCCCGTCCACTCACCGTCCACTCCCCGTCCACCCACCGTCCACTCCCCGTCCACTCACCGTCCACCCACCGTCCACTCCTCGTCCACTCCCCACTCCTCGTCCACCCACCGTCCACCTCCCCACCACCGTCCCCGTCCACTCCCCGTCCACTCCCCGTCCACCCCGTCACCGTCCACTCACCGTCCACTCCCCGTCCACTCCCCGTCCACCCTCCGTCCACTACCCGTCCACTCCTCGTCCACTCCTCGTCCACTCCCCGTCCACTCCCCTTCCACTCCTCGTCCACTCCTCGTCCACTCCCCGTCCACTCCCCTTCCACTCCTCGTCCACTCCTCGTCCACTCCCCGTCCACCCACCGTCCACTCACCGTCCACTCCCTGTCCACTCCCCGTCCACTCCCCGTCCACCCACCGTCCACTCACCGTCCACTCCCCGTCCACTCGCCGTCACCCCCCGTCCACTCCCCGTCCACCCACCGTCCACTCCCCGTCCACCCACCGTCCACTCCCCACTCCCCGTCCACTCCCGTCCACTCTCCGTCCACTCCACCGTCCACTCACCGTCCCACTCACCGTCCACTCCCCGTCCACTCCCGTCCCGTCCACTCCCCGTCCACCCACCGTCCACTCACCGTCCACTCCCTGTCCACTCCCCGTCCACCCACCGTCCACTCACCGTCCACTCCCCGTCCACTCCTCGTCCACTCCCCGTCCACCCACCGTCCACTCACCGTCCACTCACCGTCCACTCCCGTCCACTCTCCGTCCACTCACCGTCCACTCCCCGTCCACCCACCGTCCACTCACCGTCCACTCACCGTCCACTCCCGTCCACTCCCCACTCCCCGTCCACTCCCCGTCCACCCACCGTCCACTCCCCGTCCACTCCCCGTCCACTCCCCGTCCACCCCCGTCCACTCCCCGTCCACCCCACCGTCCACTCCCCGTCCACTCCCCGTCCACTCCCCCGTCCACCCCCGTCCACTCCCCGTCCACTCCCCGTCCACTCACCGTCCACTCCCGTCCACTCCCCGTCCACCCACCGTCCACTCACCGTCCACTCCTGTCCACTCCCCGTCCACTCCCCGTCCACTCACCGTCCACTCCCGTCCACTCCCCGTCCACTCCCCCGTCCACTCACCGTCCACTCACCGTCCACTCCCGTCCACCCACGTCCACTCACCGTCCACCCCCGTCCACTCCCGTCCACCCCCGTCCACTCACCGTCCACTCCCCGTCCACTCACCGTCCACTCCCCGTCCACTCACCGTCCACTCCCGTCCACCCACCGTCCACTCCCCGTCCACTCACCGTTTACTCCCCGTCCACCCACCGTCCACTCACCGTCCACTCCCCCACTCCCCGTCCACCCACCGTCCACTCCCCGTCCACTCACCGTCCACTCCCCGTCCACCCACCGTCCACTCCCCGTCCACTCACCGTCCACTCCCCACTCCCCGTCCACCCACCGTCCACTCACCGTCCACTCCCCGTCCACCCACCGTCCACTCACCGTCCACTCCCCACTCCCCGTCCACCCACCGTCCACTCCCCGTCCACCCACCGTCCACTCCCCGTCCACTCACCGTCCACCCACCGTCCACTCCCCGTCCACTCACCGTCCACTCCCCGTCCACCCCCCGTCCACTCCCCGTCCACTCACCGTCCACTGTCCGTCCACTCACCGTCCACTCACCGTCCACCCACCGTCCACTCACCGTCCACTCCCCGTCCACTCCCCGTCCACCCACCGTCCACTCACCGTCCACTCCCCGTCCACCCACCGTCCACTCCCCGTCCGCTCCCCGTCCGCTCACCGTCCACCCACCGTCCACTCACCGTCCACCCACCGTCCACTCCCCGTCCACCCACCGTCCACTCCCCGTCCACTCCCCGTCCACTCACCGTCCACCCACCGTCCACCCACCGTCCACTCCCCGTCCACTCACTGTCCTCTGCGGTCCTGTTTTGCAGCTCTGCGGTGCGTTCGTGGTGGCCTTTGGAGAGTTCCAGATGATGAATTCAAAGTTCAGGTCTCTGGTCACCTCCTTCTGGCCCATCTATCCAGCCAACACTCTGGTGGTGACAGGAACCATCGTGACCTGCGTGTGCTTCCTGGGGATCCTGGGGGGATTCAAGGAGAACCGCTGCATGATCATCGCTGTGAGTCGTTGACGTTTAGTTCCAGGTGTTTAGTGGACTGTGGGTACGATTCTTATGACTTAATGGCTTAAAACAAGATTTGCCAATTAAATGGAACAAACCAAAATGTTCTTGTTTTAAAAAGATACAAGAAATGTCTCTTGAGAAAACAAAGCAACAATTCTTGAAATCAGACTAAATGTACTCCAAAAAAAATAAATAAAATAAAATAAAATTACCACATATTTTATGGTTTTTTGCAGTGTTTGTCCTGCCATCTTTAGATAAAAACAAATTATATTAACCTGCATTTTACCAATATAGTTAATAAATAATCAAGTACATTTTTAGGATTTTTTTTAGGATTTTAAATTTTTGTAGTAATTTTTGATTTTTATACTAAACTAAACTGTTGCTAGGCAAAAAAAAAAATGAAACATGGCAAATACAAACGAAAAAAATGACTAAAACAACAAACCAACTCATTTACAAATACCTCTGTGTATGTTGTGTGCTCTTGCCTGTATGTGTGTGTGTGTGTCCTCTATATGTGCGCTACAACACCGACATTTCCCCGTTTCTCTTATCCATCCTAGTTTTTCCTGCTGCTCTTCATCCTGATGCTGGTGGAGTTGGCCATGGCGTGTGTCTTCCTCGTCTACAGCAGTAAGGTACCGCACTGACTTTTAGTCGTTAGTCACTTCTAGAACTATGTGTTGATTGATGTTTGTGAGAATGGAAGTGTTTCTGCGGCTGGACACCGGCATTTCTCCTACACTGAAAAAAGTAAAATCTTGGTAAGATTTATTTACAAAAAATATATATATACTTTTTATGGCATTTTTTTTTTTTTGGATGAATGTAGTTTGTCATGTAAGATTATTTTACTAGTTTGATAATAAGATAATAACAATAAAAAAGAAAGTAAGATAGCAATTCTTCTTGGTTGGTTGAAATAAGTATGTTATGCTACCATTTCAGAAATCATTTCTCAAAATTGTTTAGGAAAATAGTAAACAAAACTTGAAATGTATGTTTTTAAACTAGAATCAAGTCATTTCGGGCTAGTATCATTTTCTTATTTTCAGAAATTATGTGAAGTCATATTATCTTGTTCTATTGACAGATCATCTTTCTTGTTTTAAGCAGTATTTCACTTATTTTCATACATGTTTATTTTATTTTTTCAGTTGTACACTGGAAAAAAATCCCTTGAAAAAAAATAAGAAAAAAATACTTATAAACATTAAAAACTCACTACTCAGACAGTAAAATAATTTCACATGGCAAACTAAATTCAAGCAAATAAAAAAATAAGCATAATTTATGTTTTTTAGTAAATAAATCTTAACAAGATTTTACTTACATATAAACGGACACACATGAGGAGGACACCCAAACCCAAGATTAATGAACAAAAACTCTACACTAAATGAAAGAAAATCAAGTCTGTAGCTTTAGCATAGAAAAGAAGCAACTTTAAAATCTCTATAGCTTTAGCATAATAGAGAAGCAAGTAAAAGTACAATAAATATATAGTTGTATTAGGTACTGTACATTCTGGCAGCATGAGAGGATGAGACAAAGTGACAGTTACCATAACAACGGCAACATTATGGCTCTCACACACTGGCTGCTTAGTTATTGGTCAGCACTAGATCATATACGGAATCGGGACGGAAGCGGAAGTAAATATAACAAACTTCCTATTCATGCCTAAACTTAACCAGCCATTCCCATAAAATAACCATCCATACTCAGTTGCCTAAAACTTAACCAGTCACCATTTAAGGACTCATTAGTCTAAAACTAATTCGAAAGTAGGAGTGTTACTTCTGGTTTCGTCCCGATTCTGTATATAATCTCGTGCCGACCCTTAGTTATTACACAATCATTAAACCACATTCAGTAGAACCGTGATCCATAAATAACATATCTACCTATAAAAGTCGGACGGTGCATTCCACAGCCGTAAACATCTGTGCATAATGTGTGTCCAGATCCACAGCTATTTTGAAGATGACCTGATGAGGAGCCTGGTGAGCTACAGAGACGGCACACCAGAGGCCACCGAGAAGCTGATCGACAACTTTGACACCGTTCAGCACCTGGTGAGATATTCTAATCTTTTTCCTCAAACAGATGGATCGTTCTGATGTTTTTTTGATTAATAATATTGTTCTTGGGTGAAGAGATCCTTCCTTCAAGTCTTTTTGGGGGGTTAGTGAGAGCATGTGCAGTGATGTGGTATCGGACTGTGAGTAGAAAGATCAGAAAGATTAAGAGATTCTTTATTCGTCCCACAGCGGGGAAATTTCAGTGTTGCGTCACAAGTTACAGAATAGTAGGAATGAGGAGCACACAGCACAAGATAAATGTACAATAGCTATACTAATTAAAATAAAACAAAATCTCTAACTCTAGCACTAAAGAACAAGGATAAAATCTCAACCTTGAACATAATAAAGAAGTATAATTTTTTTACATTTGGCAAAATAAGAGGCAAGTGAATTAATAGTTACCTAATGTAACTTAAGTTCTACGAATAGGTGCGTAGTCCCTTAGGACTTCGCTAGTGGGATATCACTCGTGACCCCCAGGTCACACGCCAGAGAGATCAAAATAATTTGCTCCAATCACCAGCCACCCTCCTCTATAAAGGCCCCTGCACACAGCCGCACCCCCTCTTGAACTCTGCCAAGCCGGGCTGGCCTGATGGGCTCGTAGCTAAGGGACTACGCACCTATTCGTAGAACTTAAGTTACATTAGGTAACTATTAATTCTACGTCATGGTGCTACGTCCCTTAGGACTTCGCTAGTGGGACACAACGCGGAGGCCGTGAACATGTACTCCCAGCAGGCCAGCGAAGGGTGATTGGAGCTCCGCCCGAGCAAGACCCTCACACAGTGAGAGGACTCAGGGCAGAAGAAACAAATGCGTGTTACAGGGCCACTCCTACCAAGGATACCCCCAAGTAACACAGACCGTAGGTCACCCGTAGTCCCAGGACGCCTCTCCCAAGAGCTCCTGACGTGGACTACCTGACCGACCAAACACACATATAAGTACCGCACCTGTAGGATGCCTCTCCCAAGAGCTCCTGAACCAGGGCGGAAAGTCAACCGAAGGCCCCCTCAGAGGAGGGACCTAACGGTCTAACTCAGTCCGCTGCACTCAGCACGGAATGGGCCACCGACCGGTCCGACACATCCAAAAGATAAGACCGGACGAAAGAAGAGGACGACGCCCAAGAAGCCGCACGGCAGACGTCCTCGACCGACGCCCCCCTGAGGAGGGCCGTAGAGGCCGCCACCCCACGCGTGGAATGCGACCTGAAACCCACCGGGGGGGGCCAGACCCTGCGTCTGATACGCCCGCCGCACAGCCGTGGCGACCCAGTGCGCCAGCCGCTGAGCCGACAGCGGGGCGCCCCTGTTCTTGGGGCCCAGACACACAAACAGCTGACCACCCAACCTGAATGACGACGTCATGGCCAGGTAATGCCTCAGCATTCTGACAGGACACAGAAGGTGCCGCCGCTCCTCCTCGGGGGAGGCATGCGGTGGCGGATAGAAAGCCCTAATCCTGATGACTCTCGACCTAAAGGCCGACGTGATGACCTTGGGGAGAAAGGCCGGATTGGGCCACAATTCCACCATGCCGTCGCCCTCTCCAAACGACAGGCAAGACGCATGGACAGAGAGCGCACACAAGTCGCCCGCCCTCTTAGCAGACGCCAACGCCAGTAAGAGGGCCGTCTTAAAAGCGACACACTCGGGACTCGCCTCCGCCGCCGGTTCAAAAGGCGGACCCGACAGCCCCCTAAGGACCACCCTGAGGTCCCAAACCGGGGGTGTTCTCTGGAGCGGGGGCCTCCTCCTGCGCGCCCCCCGCAGAAAACGTTTAACCAACGGATGAGAGCGGGCTGTGAACCCCCCGAATCCGTCGTGACCCGAGGTAATGGCTGCTGCGAACACCGCCAAGGTGGCGACAGCCCTCCCTTTGTCAAAAAGCTCCTGTAGGAATCCCAGGACCCCCTCCAGCGGGCAACGCCTGGGATCCCAGGAACGAGAACCGCACCAGTCGCTGAAGAGCCTCCACCTCGTGGCGTAGGCCCTCACAGTGGACGGCGCCCTCGCTCCCTGAATGGTCTCCACCACCGCAGGGGGAAGACCCAGGTCTACGAGGTTGGCACTAAGAAGTAAGGGGAGTACAGCCCCCTGGTGGCGTCCTGCGGGTCTACCTCCACTGCTGCGCCTCGACTCAGCAGAGAGGAGACCTCCGCTTGTAGTGCCTCTAATGATCCCCGTACCTGAGAGCGTGCTGCCCGTACGCCTCGGAATGGTGGTGGCTTTCGGGAGAATTGCAGTGCGTAACCCCTGCGCAATGTTTTCTCCAGCCATGGATTCGTCAGCAAACCTTGCTCCCTCCAGATGCTGTAGAAGTCTGTGAGGGGCGGAACGGGAGCTGGAACACGAGACGTCATGGCCCCGCCCTCTCCTGGTGTTCCTCGCAGGGAGGGGGGGTGGACGAAAGGGCCGGGGGGCCCCCTGCGTCACACCGGCGGTCACGTGTCCTGCAGGCCCGACGTCATAAGTACGGGACTGCTCATCCCACGTGACTCGGCTGCTGTGCCCCCCCTGGTTCTTGCCTCATGGAGGGGGGGGCGAGCCTAACCCTAACCCGTGTTAGCCTTGTAGCTCAGAGCTGCTAACACGCGTTCGGCCGAAGCACACACACCACTACTCACCAGATCCCTCCGCCTGACCTCTCTCCCACCATAGCATGAACCAGAGAACCGGAGCTCGTAGCTCGCGTAGCGCACTGCAAACCTTGCTCTCGGGGCTGCAGGCCTAGCGAAGCAACGTTATGTGCTCGAGAAGTAACACAATCAGAATTCACAAGATTATTTGACATGTTACATACCCCCAAATGAGACTCAGAAACGAGTAATGATGAAATGCCGGTCGGCCTTTATTGAAGGAAAACTTTCCACCCCGACCTCCTCTGCCATAGGGAGGTCGGCGGTGGGTGCGTTGCTCCCGCGAGCCACCCGTGGGTCTGTCTGGACCCGGGGGCCTCGTCGAGGGGGGACGATGGACAACAGAGCGCGGATACGGGTCAGGATGCCTCCCGGGCCAACGTTCTCTGCCTCTGTCCCGGCTCCATGATGGTGGGCGGGCCTCGCGCCTCGGTGCTAGGTGCGGGGCTAGCCTAGCCGAGTCGTTAGCTGCAGACTCCAGTCTCGCCACCAGGGCCTGCATGTCCGGGCCGAAGAGGGACATCTGAGAGATGGGCAGGTCCAGCAGCTGCCTCTTCTCCGCCTCCCTGATATTAGCCAGCCCAAGCCAAAGGTGCCTGGCCCCGACTTGGGCTGCAGCCATGGAGCGGCCACCGTCCACGGCTAGCATCTGGCACATGCGCAGAATCGCCGCCGAGGTGGTCCTCGCCTGTGACAGGAGGTCTCCACTGAGCGCCTGGCCAGAGGAGAGCGACCTATTCAGGGCCCCCGTGATGAATGCCATGTTGTTAGCCAATGCGAGGACCTGTGCCGCATTGGCATAACATCTATCCAGCATCGCCAAGACATCCTGTCCCGCTCGGAGGGAAGGAGAGGTCTGGTGCCGGGCCACACGGATGCGGAGGGTGCAGGGCCATGCGGACTGAATCCTCGATCACCGGTCCAAGACCAGTCCTGCACGCTGCAGTACATGTCATGCCCCAGAGCAGGCCTCTTGGCTGCTAGGGGCTTTGGCCACGCACGTGTCGCGTAATGGACGAACGGGTCCATCCGCGGGCACAACGTGGGTTGTATCCTCCTCCTCCCTCGAGTGGTGGCGCCCACAGAGGTGAAGTCCTCCACCGTCTGGATCCAGCGATGACGTCCGACGCCGGAGGGCGAAGGGAACTCGGACGAACAAGGAAGACATCTCAGAATGAAGTAAGTACTGTGGTAGATCTCAAACGGCGCCAGAGTGAAAGAGGGGGTGCGGCTGTGTGCAGGGGCCTTTATAGAGGAGGGTGGCTGGTGATTGGAGCAAATTATTTTGATCTCTCTGGCGTGTGACCTGGGGGTCGAGTGATATCCCACTAGCGAAGTCCTAAGGGACGTAGCACCATGACGTAGAATAGTACTGTGTATTCTAGTGAAAGCCATATCTAGTTATATGTTAGCATCTGTACATGTTAGCAGCAGTATGTTTACATCTGTACGTGTTAGCAGCAGTATGTTTACATCTGTACGTGTTAGCAGCAGTATGTTTACATCTGTACATATTAGCAGCAGTATGATTACATCTGTACATTAGCAGCAGTATGTTTACATCTGTACATGTTTGCAGCAGAATGTTTACATCTGTGCATGTTAGCAGCAGTATGTTTACATCTGTACATTAGCAGCAGTATGTTAGCATCTGTGCATGTTAGCAGCAGTATGTTTACATCTGTACATTAGCAGCAGTATGTTTACATCTGTACATTAGCAGCAATATGTTTACATCTGTACATGTTAGCAGCAGTATGTTTACATCTATACATTAGCAGCAGTATGTTAGCATCTGTACATGTTAGCAGCAGTATGTTTACATCTGCACATGTTAGCAGCAGTATGTTTACATCTATACATTAGCAGCAGTATATTAGCATCTGTACATGTTAACATCTGTACATGTTAGCAGCAGTATGTTTACATCTGTACATTAGCAGCAGTATGTTTACATCTGTACATGTTAGCAGCAGTATGTTTACATCTGTACATGTTAGCAGCAGTATGTTTACATCTGTGCATTAGCAGCAGTATGTTTACATCTGTACATTAGCCGCATGAGATAGTAATGATTTTTAGAAGTGTTAAGTATATTATGTATTTCTTTATGCATGCCTGATTCTACTTTTACTGTTACAACTTGTTTGCACCGTGAGCCAAAGCAAAGCAATATAGTTTGTGACTTCCTGCTACTACAGAAATATAAATAATTCTGATTCTGATTGTTATGAAGAGGGAGCAGCATCTACAGTCAGAGCTGTATCGGACACTTGTGTAATAAGGGTAATGGAAATGCATTCAGGTAGAGTAGAGTAGAGTATCAATGAATAAAGTGGAAGAAAATTGAGGAGGGCCCTGTTACATGATGTTGGTATGATCCGGGGCCTTGGCGGGGTATGTGCTCTCCGAATGCACTTTCCAGTTCTAATTAGTTGTCTTTGTCCAGTTCCAGTGCTGTGGGGTGCATGAGGCGGGGGACTGGGGCGACAACATTCCCATCTCCTGCTGCACTACGGACCCATGCAACGTCGTCAACTACACCATCTGGGACGAGGTACACTGGGAAAATCCCTTGTAAAAAATAAGAAAAACTATGAAAATTAGTAAAATACTGTTTAAAATAGGAAAAATGATCTGCCAATAGAACACGAAAATATGACTTGTCAAGATTTCTGAAAATAAGAAAATACTTGCCCCAAATGACTTGATTCTACTTTAAAAACATACATTTCTAAATATTATTTACTTTTTTTCTGACATTTTTCATCTTTTAAAAAAAATATAGCATAACTTATTCTATCTAAACAAGAAAAGTTTCCTTTGACGACAAAAACAGCACTTTTTTTATCACAATGATTTCTGATAGAGGAGCGGACTGGCCGAGTGTGAACGAGTCAGAGCTAAGACTTTGTTCATGAGCACATTGGGCTTCATTGAATGTATCCATCTACACACAGTCTATGGTTTAGTACAGGGGTGTTCTTTTGGTCAGAGGCCCATTAAAAAAACTATATAGTAGCTCCTTGAGGTCCTTTCTCTGGTCCCAGAAGAGGTCCTTCTTGATAGAAGTGTGCTCTCTGTAGGAAAAGAAGTCTGTCCCTCTTCCTCCTCTTCCTCTTCCTCGTCTCACTCTGTGCTCTCTGCAGGGCTGCATGTTGAAGCTCAGGGACTGGTTTTCACATAACTACCGCAGCACCGGCGCTGGAGTGGTCACAATGTTCATCCTGCAGGTACTGAATGGTCATGGAACGTCTTTGAATATGTTTCAGTGAATACAGTGCTTTGCAAAAGTATTCATACAGTTTGACCGTCTGCACTTTGTGTCATGTTATAACCACAGTGAACCACAAGATTGTGTTATTATATCAGAGACTTCAAAGGGAGGTTTGCACTGTAAAATTTAAATTTTCGGGGTGTATTATACAGCCCTAAATCACAACAGTAGGTTGTTGATTCACCAACAACAGATCAAAGAATTTAACCGTTTGAACACAGGAAAATAAGTATATTCTATTTTTATTTATTCATTGTGGATTGCTCCTTGAGATGAATCATCTCTTTTTCAAGAAGGTCCTCATCTTCAAATACAGGCTTGTTTCCACCGGCCCTACGTGGTCCTACTCTACTCTACTGTACTCCACGATTGGGGGCGTTTCCTCTGGCGCTGTTTTTCCAATACTTTCAAAAGAGATTGGCCAGAGCGCTGCTGGGAGCCATGTTCACCAAGGCATGTCAATGGATACTGGTTTAGTGCAAAGAAAAAACAACTACCGTATTTTCCTGACTATAAGCCGTACCTGATTTTAAACCGCAGGCTCTATTTTTTAGAAATATGCACTTGTACATGCCGCACCGGATTATAAGCCGCATCTGTTATTGACAAATGTAACTCAAAAACGTTCATCATGTTCTTATTACTGTAAGAAGTAAGTCACTGATTGTTCTTAATCTTCCAGTGTGAAGCAGGAAAATGAGGAGCACAAAGTCAGCAGTTTTAAACATTAATTTGCTTAGTAACAAACAAATACATATTACAAATGTTTTTTTTTTCTAACAGTGCCTGTAACCTTTAAATATACCACCTAGGACATGTTCTAGTATTATCCATGTTGACAAGGGTGAGTACAAATGACTGATACCATACCAATTAGTTGGACCTCCGAGAACTAGTCATCAATTCTATTGGTCTACAGTTACTTAGTAAAATGTTTTTGGTACCACAGGAAAAAACTAAAATTATGCTGCACCTCACTGTACGCCGCATTGTTCAAAGTGAGGGAAAAAAGCAGCGCCTTATAGTCCGGAATTTATGGTAGGTTGAGTTGAGTAGACTAGAGTAGAGTATGGTATATGAAGTAGAGATGGTATGACGTATGATGTATGTATAATTTTCTTGTCTTCTTTTGCAGTTCGTTTGCCTGTGCATCAGCCTGCCTCTGTTCTGCTACTTGAGCGTCCAAGGCCTGGGTTTCCAGTGAAAACAGACGTCTGTAAAGGTTCAGAGTCACACTGAGATAGAGTAGTTAGGTGTTTATCCGTACACTGGCTGGAACACCTATTCTCACTCCATGTGGCCTTGACATTTTCCACATCAAGACCACAGTGTGTGGTGGAAGAAAAAACATGTAATTCTTAAAAAAAACATAAATGTTGACTGAGCGTTCTATGCTGTGTTTTAAGATATTATCAATATACCTAATGTTTAGGGAAATTGTCCTGGTTTAGCCCTGGTTTTGTCCTCCTGCTTTACTACTGGTTTTAATCCTGGGTTCAGTCCTGATGCAGTCTGTATATTCTCCCCTCACTCTCTGAGGGAACACGAGTGTGAGGCAGCCATTTGAAAACACCACTAGAGGGAGCCATAGCTTAGTGCAGCCATTCCCAAACTCAGTAACACCGAGGCCCCCTTAAAAATCTGACGGGTCTGCGTGGCCCCCCAAAATAATAACCAAGAAGACAACATTAAGAATAGGCTCTTCTGGTTATTTTATTTTGGGGAAATAGCCTCTGCTACAAACATTGTAATACAAAAATGATTACAGTGGATTATTCAAGTCAAATAATGAACACAAATATTTTAATATTACAAACAAAACATTATAAATTTAACATTAAATAATTATATTATTTTTTAATTTTTTTTATGACCTCCCGCGGCCCCCCTGCAGTACCCTCGCGGCCCACCAGGGGGCCGCGGACCCCACTTTGGGAGACACTGGCTTAGTGGATGGGACGTTGGACCGATAATACAACATATATTTGATTCATTACTCCGTGTACTGTGAACGAATGCATGATAGAAAAGACCCACCCCCAATAAACAACTTCACACACTCCTTATTCCCAAATACCACAAAAATATCTCTAAACAACACTGCAAACTTTGATCATAATATTACATCAGTTTAATATGGCGCTTTTTGGGCACTCAAAGACGCTTCACAGGTCATTCATTCACTCCATTCAAGGCGGGGATAAACTTTTGTAGCCACAGAAGCGAGGCAACGAATATGGGCCCCTCCGACCCACCACCAACCACTCACACACACCAGACTCATTCTAGGCAATTTGGGTGAAATGTCCTGTCCAGGACACGAAAGTTTGGCACTTTAAAGTCAGAGCTGCCCCACTGGGACCTCCCAGAGGTCTCCCATCACAGTACTAACCAAGCTCTGCCCTGCTTGGCTGACGGATCTAGCTGTCATGTCATTCATATATTTACCAGGCTGTAAAGTGCCAAACTGTTGTAGTGTTATTAGACAAGACATTTGATTTCACCCACATAACTTAGAATAAGTCAGAGGGGCCGATGGCATATACTGGTTGCCTCGCTTCTGTCCCAGTGTGCCCCGGGGCAGCTGTGTGAATAATGCTGCAAATTGTTTTTGAGAGTCCAAAAACAACTCTGGATTAAACCAATGCATGATACATGTAATTGGCTTTATTGAGAGCACAGATCAATATATCTTTATGTTTTTCCATTTATCAAATTTTCTGTATTATTTAATTCTAGTAATTAAATTTTTATTTATTTGTGTAATTAATCTAGATTTGTTCTCCTATTTCTGAATAATTTGGTAGTGTAAATTCTATTTGTGATGTAAATAAATTGTAATCAATTGATTACTGTTTAGTTTGTATTTCTTTACCTATTTCCTGTGTCTCCTGCAGCAGGCCCCTGAAGGCAGACGCATGATGACTATTCCAGCGACAGACCCACTTAAGATTTTTCTTTGTCTTTTTATTGACTTGAATAATAATATTACTTCACATGTATTAGTATTAGTGGACAGTGGTGTTATAGAATTACATACCCCAAAGCAAGGAGAACGCCCAAAAGTATTTGTCTTAAATCAGGAGCGTAAGTTTATTGTAACACACGTGCGGAGAGCTAGCATATCCAAAAGGCAGCATACCCAGCTCTGGCTCGCAGAGCTCAGGCTTCCTGTTTACATAGACATCACATGAAAGACAGTCACGCCCACAACAGATGGGAGGGGGCCACCGGTGAAGGAGGCGCATAGAGAGCGCAGGCGCCATGCCCCTGTGGTGAGGCAATCAGACACAGGGCATGGAGGTGCGAACAGACAGACAATGGTAGAAATGCAAGCATACAGATGCGAGATGCGAAAGACACAAGGGTGTGACAGACAGCAGGGACCTTCACAAAGCTCAGCATGGCGTCAGAAGGTCGTCTCTGCATTGAAAAGGCCTTTTACGTCCGTGTATTTGCTGCGGCTGGTTTTAATGTGATTACTCTAAAAACTGTCATTACACTCCCCTCTTTTGATAATTCAAAACCATTTTTGCATTAATCAGTTAAATACCAGAGGCATCGTAATCACATCACCTTCAAGCTTGAAACACTTAAATTATTGCTGTCCAAAGTGGACAAGAAAAGAAACATGCTTGTCAATAAAAGAAAGAGCACATTATAATAACACAATGGATCCGGACAGCGATAAGAGAAGACAATATTAACATAATAAACACGGTCAGCACGGAAAGTAGTGTCAGTGTGGCCAGCATAACAGTCCAAGGGCCCATGCCGGTCTTAGCCGGGCTACGTTCGGTAGTCTTTTCCGCGGGAATACTCACGAGCAGTGCCGTCTCGCAGTCAGTGGCACCGCTCCCTATGAGCGTGTGTGGAGCGTTAGTGGTCATGGCGATGTTTGGTCTTGGAGCGGCAAGACTCTAATTGCGTTGAAGCCTTGGCCTCAGCACTCGGTTGGGCAGAGTGCTCGGGGTTTGGGGTGTGGAGACCATGGCTAGAGCACGCTCCAGATCGGCCAGGCCCAAAGCTCGTTTGATGGGAGACCTCATGACAGCACGCTTCACCATGTGCCTCATCAGGAACTGTAGAGCAGCCCTCATCTCCACCTCCTCCGGACACACGGGAGACGAGACACCAGGGGGCACTCCAGCAGAGCTCAAATCTGCATTATGGCCAGAGGGAGCAGGCTCTGGAGAAATCTTTGGAATGAGCAGCAGCTCTGCATACTTGCTGCAGCTGAGCAGAGCGCTCAGGGCCTTCATGGCTCCCAGGCCTTGGGGTCCGGGGGCTGGGGAGTTGGGCAAAGGGGGGTCGCCTCGGGAACGCTGGGAATCTCTGGGTGTTGTTGTTGGCCTGCTTCACCGATGGTGGTCGCACGCCGGCCGACCTCTTCAGCGTAGGGAGCCGCGGATGGGCCTGGTCCGTCCGCGCCCTCGGTGTCCTCGTCTATGGCCCTCAGTGGCAGCACCGCATGACAGTGGTTGGCGTGGATCCAAGTTGTCCTCTCCGCGACCTTAACGGCAGTGTCCGTCACCAGGAGGACGAGGAATGGGCCGAGCCAGCGCTTGGACCGCCAATGCTTTCGTCTCGTTTCCTTCACCAGGACCCAGTCGCCTGGCTTGATCCTGTGCAGAGCCGCCTGCGCAGCCTGTGGCAGGGCGCTCCTGACCTGGGCAGAAATAGAGGACAAAAGTGCATTAATTTCCTTACAATAGGACAGCATGTCGTCATCACACAAAGAGGTGCTTGGCAGATCTCTGTTCGGGGGTCCCGCGCCCAAGTTGGGTGGTCTGGCACAGAGGATTTCGAATGGGACTCTCATGCGCATGTACATGAGGGCTAGCGGCAGAGCTTTGAGTGCCATTCTCTCGCTCGCACGCGCCTCGGCTCCAGGGGGCGTAACTGCAGTGTTTACGTATATCAATGCCCAGAAATTCACCCACTTCCTCAATGACTTTTGCTACAAAGTGACTGCCATTGTCACTAGAGATTTTCCCTCGGGACACCCCATCGTGGCACAATTTCTGTGAGCAGAGCTTTCACCACCGCGTTGCTCGTGGCGTGTTTGCATGCAAATATTCAGTCCATTTGGACCAGAGATCCGCCAGGCCCAGACAATATTACTTACCTTGGCATGGTGTGAGTTCAACAAAGTCCCTTTGGACATGTTGAAATGGGCGCAGGGGCGGAGGATGAGCAGCCTGTTGGATACTTTTGGGACTTACCTGGGTTGTGCGCGAGGCATATAGCGCATGTTTGGCAGAATCTCTGTGCAAATGCCGTAAACCCCTTTGTATACCAATTTTGTGTGATTAAATCACACATCCCTCCTTCTGAGGCATGGTCTCGACCATGTGCTAAAATTGCAAACTGTCTGAAGAAATGCCGTGGTAGGCACGGTTTGCTGTCTGGTCCCAGCCACACACACCATGCCGTCGTTGAGCCCCATTCCCCTCCCACAGCAGCGTCTCTGCTGGAGTAGCCAGTGTCTGCATCGCTGACAGAGAGGAGAAAATATCAACGTCTTGAGTGAGGTAGTGTGTGTGTGTGTGTAGAGGTGCGTATGCCGCTGCCTTGTCCGCGCGCCGATTCCCTGCAGAGATGGGATCAGTGGCATTAGTGTGGGCCTGGCATTTGCGTACATCGATCTCTAAGGGCAACATTACAGCTTTCAGCAGATGTTCAACCTGTGTGGAATTAAGAATTGGTTTACCATCAGATTTCATGAAATTGCGGTGTTTCCACAGTGCCCCCCAGTCGTGCACCACAAAGAAACCATAGCGCGTATCACAGAATATGTTAACAGTTTTGCCCGCTGCCAGCTCACAAGCCCCGGTGGGCGCGACCAGTTCAGCGGTTTGTGCTGAATGGTAGTGGGGCAAACTACCAGAGTCTATAGTATCAAAATCAGAACACACAGCATAGCCGACTCGGTTCTTCCCAGTGTTGTCACGTGACGCGGCTCCATCTGTATAAAAAAATCAAGTCAGGATTAGTCAGAGGCACCTCTTTCAGGTCTGGCCTGGGAGTGCATATCTGTTCTATTGTGGCGATACAGCAGTGTTCCTCCCCTTCCTCTGGCGTGGGCAGCAGTGAGGAGGGGTTCAGCTGTGTGCATCTTTTCACCGTGACATTGGGGAGTTCAAAGAGCACCGTGTTGTATTTCAGCCAACGAGCCGCAGAAAGGTGAGAGGTTTTCTGCTC